GAGAGAGAGAGAGAAGATGCGAGAGGGAGACAGAGGGAGAGGAAGAGGAGTGCTCTTGGCAAAGAGGGTGTTGGTTCCTCAGTATCGCACTGGACACGTTTGGCATCGGCAGTATCGAAACGGTCATCCCGATCGCTCGGCAATACCCATTGTTGTTCCTCGAGAACATTGTGATCCTTGAGAAGAGATTCTCACCGCATCTCGGATCTCCTTGCACGTGGAGCTGAGCCGATTTTTTTTCCACGAGCGGTCGATATTTCGACGTCCGCGATGATTTCCGTCGAGCGTGCAGCGATGATCATCTTCGGGCTGGCCCTTTTCGTAACTTCAGGTGAGGTCCGCGGATTCACGCGGTTCAAGGGAAAACTTTATATTATTAAATTTAAATTCGGAATAAGATTGAGAAATTAATAAGTACGCCGAGTAGACTCGGCCATTTTGAACAGTCAGAAATCTACGACGAAGTTGCTGTTTTTAGCCGCGTACTTAATCTTTTTTTCTTAAATACTAAAAAGAATACTGAAATACTATTCTTGTCCTATTGTTTACGAACAAATCTGATATATTTTACGCAAAGCTATTATATCGTCTCTGTGTGATCTATGTATATTAAAAAAAAAACAACTGCAAAGTTACGCGAATGGAAAAATAAATACCGTTAAGTCGCGTGACTTTCATACTTGTTGCTTTTATAATTTTACACGCTTTCTCTCTTTGTTAATTGTCTATTGTTTAATCATAGATATCTGTAAAGTTTTCTTCGGTTGTTGTATTATGACTTTAAAAAAATGTAGCTGTTTATATAAAAATGTTATGCTCGCGACATATCGTAATTGCGATGTAATCTTCAAGCCAACATTGTTAATTCCCGGGAACCTTCATCTATTTCAGGAAATTCAATGATTAATATGCAGATTAATAACATTCGCAGTTTTTATGCAGATCTCAGCATAGAAAAAATATAAAAAAGAAAAGTAAGGTAAACACTCTGGTGTAAAAACAAGATAATTCATCGCGTCATATAATCATAATATTTTTCTCTTATCTCGATCTTGAAAATTATATATCATGAGAAGAGAACATTCATAAATCTTGCCAGACTTGAAAATAATTTTGTCGGATCAAAATGAAATTATTTAAAATAAAAATATGTATGTAGAACATTCAAATTGATCGCTAGAGTATAAAAAAAAATCTTTTTTTCGTGTATATATAATTTTTGTCCATGTCGTGACATTTCCTCTTAAGTTATATGCTACGTCGCGCCTCAATGCATTTTTACAATGGCGGCAACCTGATTGTGTGCAGAACTGGCGCGCGCCATTAATATCGACGGTTACTCAGCATTACATCACTTCTTAATCATATCCGCACCTGTTTTCTTTTACAGAATTGCGCAGGTATCTCTTTCGTTCTAATTCATATTTATTTCTGTAAATTTCCGCCATTTATTTTCCGTAAATGCCTCTCGAGGTATCTTTTTCAAGATGAAGGAATGTCTTCTTTCACTTGTATTTCAATAATATGTAATTTACTAAATATAATTTACATAATATATGCATAATATATGCATAATAATTCGCACATACATCGGATTCTTATAATAGGTTTTTAAGTCGGATCATGGAAAGAACAGTTTTGATAAAGTATTTAAAAACTTGATCAAATATGAAAATAATTTTATCGTGTCATTAAAATTATATAATACACTTATGCATGATAATAATATTATAAAATTTGTTATGCTCCAGCAACTAATTTAAATGACGTAATTATTTTGATGGCTTAATAAAATTATTTTCAGATCTGTATCTAGCCAAATTTTTAGATACTTCAAAACTGTCTTTTCTGTGATTACATCTGTGTCTTTTCTGTGTTTGATAAAGAAATGTCTGATGTATATACATATCTAATCACGTTTGCTCTGAAGATGCGTAATAAAATAGGAATTTAATAAAGCTTAGGAAAAACATAAAACAATGATCGTCTAAAATGTATTTTCGACAATCTAGGAGAATACTTTTAAAGTTGTATGTTAAACATTTACATATATGTGTGAAAAATGTTTTTAAAATTTTCTACGTTTACACGGTACAAGATACGCATTTTATTCGACGCTCGCAATGCTCTTAGGATCATTTATTGTTCACCGAACGTTGCATAAGGACAAATATTGCTCACGAACGTTGCGAGCAGTACCGAGTGGGACACGATCACGCGATTGTATCAATCCTCAAATTGCGAGATAAAATCATATTTTATATATATGTTTCTTCATGTATATATCTTCTTCCACAGGTTCCGCCCTACGATGCTGGGTCTGTTCGTCCAACGTGAACGTCATGTGTAACGACCCGATGAACACCACAGATCATCAGGCTGCGTTCCACATAAGGACCTGCGATCCGGGTCCCTTCGGCTCTTCAAAGCCCATCTGCCGCAAAATCGTTAAACGAGGTAAAGCCCTCCGCTGGTTTGTTACGATATAACGCGTGGAGAGAAATTCGCTCGAAAAGATCTCTCGGCGTGTGTAATTTCAATCGCATCGAAGTAACAACTCTCGAGTTGTTTTAATGAAAAGGCACGTGCCGTCGATGAATGTTTGCTTTCCTCGCGTTTTCGCGCCCGCTTGTCTCGCGTACCTCTCGTGTCGTTAATGTGATATCGCGGGGAAGGGAAAAAAAAAAAAAAAGAAGTTATCGCGCGACAGAAGTGAGATGACAGAAAGATTTTCTGACTCGCAGCGTGAGTCGAGATACGTCGCTCGTTTACTCGGAGGATGACGCATTTCGTAGTCGGCATCGTTTAAATCGCATCTTTTTAATGCGCTGTATCCTCTTTTTGCGAGGCGCTTGCGCGCAGTAATACGACGTCGCAATTGAGTCACGCCGGCGCGTACAGAGATGACGATGTTAATTGAACGTCAAAACAAGGCCGGTACCACACCTAGAAAAAAAATTATCATTATACCACCGCCGGTGATTAATTTCGGGCCAGGGTGATACCGCGGCGCTGCTGCGGTTTC